CATGGAGTAAGTGCTCAAAGACTTGTGGAGGAGGAAAAAGAACCAGGTCACACCAACACTCTAACGATGAGAGTGCCGAAAACGTAACTTCTGTAGAAGTTTGTCATCCCTTTGGTTGCAATGATACTGGTGAGCATTTGCAAAAGACATAACATACCTTCATATATGTCGACAAGAAAAAATGGCCTAATTTCAATAGACAGCTCCCAAACGAATGATATATAACATCAGGTGGGTTTGAAACACATGAAACACATGAACGTCGGAAACCTCAATACGGGGTTGCTAAGTTTAAATGTTTTCGTAAGTGGGAGAAACTAAAAAAGATGAGTAAACAAACATTTACTTATTTCGAATAGCATTTGGTGTCCGAAACACGTTTTGTTATATTCTAGTTCGGTTGCATTGTAAATTACGTTTTGTTTTCTATCTGAATAATGCCAATACCGTGGCAGTAGCTACTGGGTGTTTGTTTGTAACTAATAGTCCACCAGAAACAGTAAAGACCTAGTTATAAAAAAAGAATATGATGGCTGTCTCAATCATCGATAGCAAATGACAATAATTATGAAACCGAAATAAGAATAACCACATTCATTATTTGCGAACCAGTTATTTGTGATTATAAGTTTTCTTGTATTCGGATTTAATTAGGTTTGAAAAATTACTGATTATGACAAAAAAGAGGCAAAACATACACATTCTATAATAAAAAAGTAGAGAGCCGACAAAAACAGATAACGTTATATAGCAATATACAGTTAGGAAAAAAAAAAATACCCTCATTAATTTTACCCCCCCCCCCCCTTTCCTTGCTTTCTTACAAATTAAGTTTACTGCTTTGGTATTGTGAAATGGTTAATGATAATCTTTTTTGGTGTATCCATGGCAGTTACCTGCATGTATTTGCTATGAAATATTGCAAAAAAGGGGTAAAGATGTCACATATTTTCAAAAAAATTGACCAAAAGTAGAAGTTCAATCCCTTGGAGTGATACTAGTACCTTTATTGAAACTGTTCACCTATGAAAAAATGTTTGTAAACATTACAATAATGTTTAGACTTATGGCCGGTCTGGCTATATCAAACATGTAACAAATAATCTTGATGTTCTTATAATAGATATAAGAAGATGTTGTATGAGTGCCAATGAGACAACACTCCATCCAAGTCAAAATTTGTAAGAGTAAACCATTATAGGCCAAAGTACGGTCTTCAACACGGAGACTTGGCTCACACCGCAAAGCAAGATATAAAAGGCCCCACAAATGACTTTTGTAAAACCATTCAAACAGGAAAACCAACGGTCTAATCTTTATAAAAAACGAGACACGAGAAACACTTATGAACTACATCAACAAACGACAACCACTGAACATCAGGTTCCTGACTTAGGACAAACAAATGCAGCGGGTTTACACGTTTTAATAGGCACCAACATTCACGTACCCTACCTGAAACAATAGTGTAACATCACAACATAGAAAGACACGCTATAAAATATCAATTGAAATGGCTTAACCCAATCAAAAGACATATCAACAAACAAGTGAACATACACTGAACGAATACATTTGATCTATGACACAATGTAAATACCAAAGAAATAAAACAAAGGGGTAAGATGTAACACAATATCAGAAAGAAAACCATAACCATGGACAAAATGCCGCCAAATATAATAACGTTCACAGGTAAATAAAAATAATTTTGTTGTAAGGTATACATGGAATACGGAAATAATTTTTACAAAATCCTAGTACGAGAACAAAAGTGAAAATTTGTCGTCATACTAAACACTTATCAAAGGTGGCATATATAAAAATAGTGAGACTAGATATAGCTTTGAATAACTAAACATTAAATAACAAAAATACATTACAAATTGTATCAACAGGTCAAATAAACACAAAAGTACGATTTGAGAGTATTCGCAGTTACTGAAAGCAAGCTAAAAGCCAAAAACAATTAATTATAAAAAAAACATGCATCAGAGACTAAAATGAACTAAAACACATCCCAGAGATTTAGTGTTTTAAAGTCATGTACAGTCAAAGAAGATGATTTGTGCAATGCCAAAATAAAAGAATCGACAGGCAGTAGGATAGTTAACCTGTTATAAATATGTATAATGTAATATAAATAGAGTAATCTCTATATAGAAAATTAACGTGGATGTGTATTTATACATTTCAAAAAGACAATTGAAAAGAATATACATTTTTTTATGTTTTAATTTGCTGATGACAAAATCGATATTTGTACCAATGTAAATTATATTCAAAGATCTAATTACAACATTGGTTAGATAACCTTTACTAATAAGTTTGTTTAAAGGTTCGATGAGTTTAGATTTATCACAAAGTGATTTCCGTGCTTTTAGTACAATATTACCGTAAAAATTAGGATGTGAAATACCGTTTTTAATAAGTTTTCTACAGGTACAGCCAAATTTACTAATCAAATTTTTGTATCTTTGAAATAAATTAGTAAAAGCTTTTAGCAATTTATGGGAACGAAATCCCTTACCTAATAATCTACCAGTGATGCATTGATTACGTTCGTTAAACAATTATGACATCATTACACACCCGGGCATAACGAACGAGATTGGATATATAAACATCGTATGATGGAGCCAAAGGAACATCGCCGTCCTAAAAGGGAAAATGAAAAATAGGGAATGAAAAATCGTCTTTTGATCGTAAATGTTAGTATGGAGTTTCCCTTTCAAAATTGAAATGTCTAATAGATATAAGAAGATGTGGTATGAGTGCCAATGAACCAACTCTCCATGCAAGTCACAATATATGAAAGTAAACCATTATAGGTCAAAGTACGGTCTTCAACACGGAGCCTTGGCTAACACCGCAAAGCAAGATATAAAGGGCCCAAAAAATGACTAGTGTAAAACCATTCAAACGGGAAAACCAACGGTCTGATCTATATAAAAAACGAGAAACGAGAAACAGTTATGAACCACATCAACAAACGACAACTACTGAACATCAGATTCCTGACTTAGGACAAGTGCAAACAATTGCAGCGGGTTTAAACGTTTTAATGGTACCAAACCTTCACCCTTATCTGAAACAATAGTGTAACATCACAACACAGAAAGACACACTATAAAATATCAATTGAAATGGCTTAACTCAATCAAAAAACATACATCTAGAAAAGGACAACTACTGCTGTTTATGTTAGATTTATTTAAAGTAAGTTCTTTTGGGTAAGTTTCGGTTGTATATATAGATAATTCTGGATTATTCAACGAAAAAAAATCATCAAGATAACGGTAGGTATTGTTGAATGTATCAACTAAATGTAAGTTTGGTCATAATACAGGAATAAATTTGCTATATAAGGGGCGCAGTTAGTGCACATGGGAATTACTTCTACCTGTCGATTCATATAAACCCACTTTGAAGGCTAAATTAGTCACCAGCTGTCTAAAAATGAATTTTATTGCAAAATAACTTTCATATTTGAAAAATCCACCGGGGCCAAAATGCGAAACTACAACCTAACTATTTATTGCTAGCTTATGCACAACAAAAACAAAAACAAACGACAAAAAAATGTGCAACACGAATTCCAACAAAACCAGGGCTGATTTTAGGAGAGATAGACAGATTATGATTTAGAAGTTGCATCCATCGTGATGCTGATGATAAGTATAAATTCGGTTATAATTAGCACTTAGTGATGTCCGAATTCAAGAAAAGACGGAATTGTGGAAACGAAAATTAATTGCCAACCCTTTTAAATGGATGAATTTAACTTTATTGATAGGAACCTTTGAATCAATAGCTAACGTGTTGGAAAACTTACTCGATCAGGAGAAACATGGTAGGAATCGAACGCGCTGTAATCTAAATATCTTTTAGATATATATTTTTTTTGAAAATTCATATATATATATACTCCCCATGCAAGCACTACTTGAATGTTGTTCCAGTGAAATTGAAGTTTTTGATTGGAAAGCTGATATCATCTCTTTCGTCTTAAATTATGCTTTTAATCGCCAATACACTCATTTTCTAGATGTTAGTACAATTATGAAGCACACTGTTTCTGATGTATCAAATTCAATAGCGCAGATGCGTTCAAATTGGTTACCAAACTAATTAAGTTAGTGGACTTCATCGATATAGCGTGACGTTAAATTAAATGATAACGCTAGGCACTTTTCAGTTTTCATCAGAAATACTTGTATGAAGTCTCAATCTAAATAAAGAAACGAGTCAGTATGAAGAGTACACAGTTTGTTTCCATAAGAATGCCGATTGCTTGTTGATAAACACTTTCTTCAAGAAATAAAATAAATCTGTTATACAATTATTCCAAAATATTTATAAATCTTTATGAAATATATAAATCGTTTATGTAAAACAAATTCATAATGATATATTTAATAAATACATTTTCCAAAATTTTCATTTCACATTTGTTGACACCATTTATATAGACTAAAAACGGCATTACAGAATTTGTTTATAAGTTTTTCAAAACTGTTATTCCTTAATTAAATCAATTTTTACTAAATGAAAAAATTCGCTTGTGTCTCCAATTTTTGACATTTTTCCTAATTATGTCTGTTTGATTTGCTTGCACATTGTTGTCAATATAATTGAATGCTATTTGACCGTCATACAAATGAGAGGTTTAGCTACATATAAAACCAGGTTTAACCCACCGCAGGAAATCCCTGTACCAAGTCAGGAATATGACAGTTGTTTTCCAATCGTTTGATGTTTTTGAACTTTTGATTTTGCCATGTGATAATGGACTTTCCGTTTTGAATTTTCCATGGAGTTCGGTATTTTTGTTAATTTACCTTTTTGTATATTAAAGAACTAAATAATTTACAAAGGAATAATTCTTCCCTAATGGCATAATACATGAGATAACCATTACCATTCATTAATTCAAACAATTAATATTTTCACTTTAATAATAAAAAAACATCCTCCATGTTTCCAGCTCTCAACTGCAATGACTGGAAAACAAAGGGTATGTTGGATAGTCAAACTGCATTAGTTGAACCAATTGCATCTAACGGTATTCAACTGCAAGCAGTAGAGATTTATTGCGATATGGAAATGGAAAATGGAGTAGGAGTAACAGTAATAGGTATGTCTTCGATAAAATTAATGTAAATGACTCAAAGAACATAAAGTCTCACATAAGAATCAGTATGTTCTCTTTTTAAGGTTTTACCTTTTGCATTGATATTTCATAAATACCACAATGTCGACATTTTCTAAAATCTAAGTAAAAGAAGCTTTCTTGTATAAGGCCATGGTTTTATTAAAAAGTTCATTTGATTTGTACTGATTTATATTTTTGTCTAGGAAACTATCATTTATTTGGTAATTGGCTTTCAACTAAGTTTCAGGAACTGCAGTACTATGTGTTTTTATCTATATATAAGTGTTTGTTTTTTTGCTTCAGGGCCAATCTGATGAGTCGGACATTTTCTTACTGATTTTATGCAGTGTTCCTATTGTGTTTTGTTACAGCACCGTCCAAGGTTTTGAGCGTTTAGAGCGTTCAAAACATGTTAAACCCAGCCACGTCTTATTTGTGCATGTCGCAAGTCAGCAGCCTATATTTCGGAAGTTGTTGATGGCTATTTTCTGTTAAATTTATTTTTAGTTTATTGTTTTAGATCAAATTATGCTGTTTGTTTTTCTCCTTTGAAATGTGTCAGATTTTTGTTTGTTTTATACTATAAAGTTTTTCATTCATCTTTGAAAACCGTACGGTGACCTATAGTTAATTTTGGTGGACAATCTTTTGGCAAATGACATCACATCTACTTATCCTTAGATCTCTTTTGACATATTAATATAAAGTTTGAACTGCAAGTAAATTATTGTATGATTTCTTTATATCTTTGATATTATTTTCTGCATATCTTCATTTTAGTTCAAACAAATCTTTGTTATTTACAGAGGAAATTCAAAAATTGAAAGGTGTTCAAAGTTTCTCTGAATTATTTTTATTTTAGTATATTTTCTAACCTCAAAAGTAATATATAAAAATTAAGAGATATGGTATGATTACACATAAGACAACTATCTACCAGAGTTTAGATAAGTGGATTCTGTATAAGGAATTATAGGCCACCATACGACCTTCAACAATGAGAAAAGTCCATGTAATATAGTTGGCTCTCTCTATAGTAAAAAAAAACCCAAAGGATATAGGGTAAATCCAGCAAAACAAAAACTAACAAAAAGCTAAGGAACACCGCTATGTTTATTTTTATGATGAAAACTTTTCCATAGACTCGGATCGTTTGACTTATAGTGGCTAGAAACTCTATAATATAATGACCATACTGCTTCTACTATTAATAGTATTAATAATTATAATAATGAAAATTATATAAAAAAAATAAAACATTGTGTTTAAAGCAGGTACATAAGATTTTCTTGGTAAAATAGGTCAGAACAATTGAGGTAATAGAAAGAAACTAAAGTGTGTTCTATACGAAACCATTTGAACGCTCTTATAATTTCGTTTACTGTAAACGGAAATATTTGCGACAGTTTTATTTTCGCTATTTTTGCGGTAAGAGTGGAAAAGCGAAAATAAAACCTCCTCGAATATTTCAAGGAAAACTGATTGAGAGAATAAAGTCCGTTTATCAACGTATATCAATAGGATTATATGCAGGCAGCAGTTTTTTTTTCAGACGACAGATCTATATCAATAATTAAAACTTTATTTCTAAATGAAATCAGGTGTTAAAAACCAAAAAAAAAAAAAAACCTAGACAGTCGAATTAAAATGAAATCTATTTTAAGCAAGCGAAAATTATTGATATTTTGATACAAAGAACACTTTTGATAGTTAGGTAAATGACACCTTCAATCATTTTTGAAATGATTAACACATTTTGTCTGCTACACTAATTAATATGATCAAAATCATGATTAATTTGCTGTTATTCTCGCAGCATCTAATTTGCTATTACCAAAGCTAATTGTTTATGTTTATTGTGTATTTGTTTTTACAAATAATCAAAAATGTGTCAGTTTAATTATTATAATACTTGATATAAGTCAATTAACAATTAACTTGAAATCTAAATGTTTATTATAATGAATCGACGAAAGTAAGTCACCTTGAATAGACAAAGGTTTTTTGATCAATTTGTATAAAAGTTGGTTTACGATATATGTGCAATTGTGCCGTTTCAAAATCAATTACTTAATTTTGTACAGGTCTCCTACAAACATCGAATTCTTAACGTCGAGAATTAAGATTTAGTTGACAAATCGCGAAATAAAGACAGCACGAAAATTTCCCGGTTTACAGTATTCTATTATTTTCATTATTTTATTCCTCAATGATTCATTTCATTTAATTAGGAAAACTTGTGTGTCTATTTTTTTTATTTTATGCAAATTATACACCATCATACAAGATAACCGAAACCTTTATGTTTTAAAATGATAATGACTTTTGTCATTATTAATAACACCATCATACAAGATAACTGAAACCTTTATGTTTTAAAATGATAATGACTTTTGCCAATATTAATGATATAGCAAATGTATATTTTCACAACTATCTCGTACTGAGAGTTGAACATTTAAGTGAAACATAATCTTGGTAAAAAATTGTTAATGTTTCCAGATCATGATGGAGAGCGAGATGTAACAGTACATGGCTTTGAGGGATATGGATCCTACAGTTTTATCATTTCATATGATATTCCTTTCGAGCACATTGTTGCAATAATAGATTCATCTCAGTTTTGTCGACAATTTGTACGCTGGAAATGTAAAGGTGCTCTAATGTACGATAATATTACTCAAGAGTGGAGTACGTACTGGACAAATCGAAGCACAGCTTACTTAGCAACAAATGAATACAAACCACCTTCTGGATTTTTTCACGGACCTGAAGAAAGAATAATTTGTGACTGTGGAATTAATGACACCTGTCAGCGAAGCGACGTGATCTGCAATTGCGATATCAATGATTACATTTGGCGATCTGATGAAGGATACGTTACAAATAAGGATGCTTTGCCAATAGTCGCTTTCTTTGCAGGGGACACAGGTAAGTTAACAATTGTATTTAATCACCATAGGCAATAACTAAATTTTCATAAATGACATATCGTGTTTATCACGGCAATCTAAATTTCTCTGATTAGAGAATAGCATCAAAAATGGTTAAAGATAATATCATCGTTTATATCAACGTCCGTTCCAAAAATGATACATAATGTGTGTATTATTTATTGCGATACCAAAATTACAATGTTAAAACTGATCACTTAGAGGAACTACTAATAAGGGTATGTCACATGGCGATTAGCGAGAATGAATCAGCAGATAAATCAACTGAATATACTTTTGATACCGGATATTAATCGTAAACCAACTAACTTTCACGTCTTTCGAGAAAAGGAAAAAATCTATAATAATTTAAGTTGTCGCGAATATGTTTAAATTTAAACTTCCTAAATATTGGTACACTAAGAGCTTTAAAAAGGTTGGCTACAAAGAGCTAAACTCGATATATATGTAAAATATAGGTAGAAATTGGTTTACAGCATATATTATGTATTGGTAAAAAACAAAACGCCTGGTTAAAACCACTTGCCCTGAAAGACAATAAAGATAATATATATGATGTTTTTTCATCTAATTGTACAACTCATGACCATTCATTTTGATATTCCTTCCTACCGACCAGTACCATAAAGTCCATTTCAACAACTTCTTCACATAATGTTTTTGGTACTTGCTATCTGCTTACACAATAATCTGAAACACACAAATATATATATATATATATATATATATATATATATATATATATATACATTTGCAGATGTAACATTGTTGTGCTGACATTTAGAGTAATTATGAATATAATATGTGTTTTCAGCCGTGTATCACATTCACTGGTGATCCAATGAATGGATCTGTCGTAGAGTTGTCACTTGTTTAAATGTACTTATTAAATGATTATTTCTGTGACTACATCTTACGTTCCTTTACGACAGATGATTCAACTAATCTTCAATCAATTCCATCTTCATGCCTAATATATCATATACTGTGTTACAACTCTAGATTCTACTGACGAGGAAAGGTAACACTAGGCCACCGAAAGCTGAATTTGTAGATCAGTCTAGGTGGCCGAGTGGTTTAGAGTGCTAGACACAGTGCAGGCGGTGTTGTCTCGATGTCCCAATAGCATGAGCTCGAATGCCGGTGAGGGAAGAACAACTTTGCAGATTTAACATTGTTGTCCTGATATTTAGAGTAGTTATATATATACACATATATATATATATATATATATATATATCTGTGACTGCGTCCTACATTAATTTGTAAGATCCTCTACGATGGATAATTCAGCTGATCTGTAATATTCTATCTTTATGCCTTATATATCATGTACTATGTTACGACGCTAGATAAAAACTGACGAGGAAAAGCAACACCCGGCCACCGAAAGCTTGATTTTTGTCGAGCCTAGGTGGTCGAGTGGACATAGTGCAAGGCGATTTGATGCCACGATATCTCAGTAGCATGAGTTTGAATCCCGGCCAGGGAAGAACAAAAAATTTGCTTCCGCAACTTTACAAATCTAACATTGTTGGGCTCTTATTTAGACTAATTATATATATAAATATGTAGGACTCTAAAGTGCGATGGTACTCTAAAGTGCGATGGTCACGCTAAAGTGCGATGGTCTACGCTAAAGTGCGATGGTTTCAGACGCTAAAGTGCGATGGTTGTTTGTTTTTTTAAGTGCGATCAGATGACACGCTAAAATGCGATGGTATACATGACACGCTAAAGAGCGTTGGTTTAACACGCTTTTAAAAGTGCGATGGTGTAACGAGAATGGGGTTCAGGCAATGGTTTATGTTTTTTGCTGTGTTCATATTAGTTTTTCGTCTATTGTATTGTTTATAAATCATGCTGTTGTCTTTCTCTTTTGAATTGTTTTACATTAGTCGTTTCGTGGTCCAATATAGCTTCTATGCGATGTAAGCCAAGCCTCCACGTTGAAGTTCATAATCTTGCTAAGAGCATATGGTCTTTGGTGGATAGCTGTTTCGTTGACAATTACACCACAACTTCTTATTTGTTTTTTGTTTATTGTTTTCTATCTCTTTCACAGACATGACGAACCATATTGTAAAAAATTGTTTTATAAAATATTTCAATTAGAAAATTAAAAAGTAGCTTTTATTTCACGCAAGTAAATAACATGGGATTAAAAACATAGAAGGAGTTTCTAAATCAAATTTGGACGAATTAAATACTTTGACACTTGGTGTATTTTGCCGTTTTCGCTCTCTTTTACGGTATACACCTTCCAATTACTAGCGTCAGTTTCTAAATTTATGAGAAGTATTCTTTTCCAGTATCCTGTCAGAAACCCGTGTGTCCCCGCCGACACAGCGCGATCAAAGGTTTGCATTTCTGTTACTGTCGATGAATTTTTGGGAAATAACTCCTCCGCATACAAACTTTTCTAGCACCAACCAAAATTGGAATCATTTGTTTTCGTGTCTAGTAAAAAAAACTTCATCTGCACAAACATTCTCGTTTACCCATGTCCATTTTTGTTTGTACAAAAGGCGTGTAGCGTCATAATGCTATTCATGGTTGCAAACGTCCGTACTTTCGCGAACAAACGCATTTTCGCGGAAAAACGCACTTTAGCGTATCGCAGATTCGGACTTTAGCGTGTTCCGTCGCACTTTAGCGTGACCATCGCGTTTTAACGTCCCAATCGCACTTTAGAGTCCTACAGATATATATACAAGTCTAAATTGAAAACAACGTTAAACCTATGATTGCGTTGGATACAAAACAGCAATTTTTATACGTGTGCACGCAAAACAATTTTCTTGGTAGAGGGGTCAAGATACAGCACAAACAACATTTTCCAAAAGACCAAAAAAATGAAAAAGTATATTTTAACAAAACGCATTTGACTAGCAGGTCGAACAACGGATGCTCTTAAACCCTGACTGCCATTTGCGATTGTCAAATAAACGGATCACCAGATGTAACAAAATGGATCTTATAATTAATTTAATACCAAACAGAAAACAATAAACTTGCGGAAAAGATAGTATACCGCAAACAAAAGGTGCAAAAATTAGTACACCATATCCGGATTACGACAATTAATGTCTCTTCAGTGATGTTAGGAATCGAAACGGTATCTGGAAAGCCGTACAAATTACCTCAATTTAGGATAGACTCTTGAATATATATATATATATACAAGTACGTCTAAACAAGTGAAGCTATAGGACAGATCCATTCATTGGATCACCAGTGAAAGTGATACACGGCTGAAAACACATATTATATTAATATTATATTCTAGCGCTCAATACCACTCGTCCACCTAGACTGAACTAAACATTCAGCTTTTGGTGGCCTAGTGTTACCTTACCTCGTCAGTAGAATCTAGAATTGTATATATATATATATATATTGTATATATAAGTCATAATTGAAAACAACGTCCAAACCTATATATATATATATATATTCGTTTGGGCTTGTGTTATATTTTCCCTCCGGTTTATATAATCCGTTCATCCTATTTTGACTCTTTAAAATTCAAGAGTCTATCCTATATTGAGGTAAATTAAATGGCCTTCCAAATACTTTTCGATCCCTAACATCACTGAAGAGACATTAATTGTCGAAATCCGGATATGGTGTAAAAAATTTAGCAACTCATGTTGTGGTTAACCATCTTTGCTGCAAGTTTATTGTTTTCTACTTGGTATTAAATTAATATAGAGATCCATTTTGTTACACTTTGTGATCAATTTATTTGGCAGTCGCCAATGGCAGTCAGCAGGGTTTAAGAACATCAGTTATTCGACCTGCTTGTCAAATGCGTTTTGTTAAAATATATTTTTTCACTCTTTTGGTCTTTTGGAAAATGTTGTTTGTGCTGTATTTAGACCCTTCTACAACGAAATTTTTTACATGCACACGTATAAAAATTGCGGTTTTTATCCAACGCAATCATAGGTTTGAACGTTGTTTTCAATTTTGCCGTGTTTATTTTTATTTCGTTTGGGCTTGTATTATATTTTCCCTCCGGTTTATATAATCCGTTCATCCTATTTTGACTCTTTAAAATTCAAGAGTCCATCCTATATTGAGATAAATTAAATGGCCTTCCAAATACTTTTCGATCCCTAACATCACTGAAGAGACATTAATTGTCGAAATCCGGATAGGGTGTAAAAAATTTAGCACCTCATGTTGTGGTTTAACATCTTTGCTGCAAGTTTATTGTTTTCTACTTGGTATTAAATTAATATAGGGATCCATTTTGTTACACCTTGTGATCAATTTATTTGGCAATCGTCAATGGCAGTCAGCAGGGTTAAAGAACATCAGTTGTTCGACCTGCTAGTCAAATGCGTTTTGTTAAAATATATTTTTTCACTCTTTTGATCTTTTGGAAAATGTTGTTTGTGCTGTATTTAGACCCTTTTACAACGAAATTTGTTACATGCACACGTATAAAAATTGTATATAACTTATATATATATACAAGTCTAAATTGAAAACAACGTTCAAACCTATTATTGCGTTGGATAAAAACCGCAATTTTTATACGTGTGCATGTAAAACAAATTTTTTGATAGAGGGGTCTAAAAACAGCACAAACAACATTTTCCAAAAGACCAAAAAATTGAGCAAGTATATTTTAACAAAACGCATTTGACTATATATATATATATATATATATATATAAAGTGCCTAGAGAATCAACCTAACAAAGTAAGAGTAGATCTGATTCTTTACTGCCTCTCCGACAGGGGTTGGAACCTGTATTGTAAGATACTGAAATATTGATATACTGAAATATTGATATACTGAAATATTGATGATTATTGGAGATGTAAAGTATACGTTGAATTAAACAGTAACAATATACCACAAACATATGAACAGTATCTACTGGTAAAAATACGTATTTTTAGCAATAGACAGAGGGCCTATACAGTTTCTATATACTTTCGCTATAATCAATAATAACGACACTATATGAGTTTTTTGTTTTGATTTTCAGGAGATATCTATGAAGAAGGAAAACATTTCATAGGCCCAATTGAGTGTTATGGGATTGCCTAGTCTTTTATTTTGAGCAGTCCGGAGCTGTTATACAATCCTCGGCAACTTTTCAACAATTGTTCATGTTCCATTTCAGAAAGACAATGATAAATCTTTATTATAATATATTTGATGACACTGTCGCCTTTTTATATATATGTTTATTTTAAATGTATATGCTAACACGATCGTTTTATACTAGATAGAGATGCAACTGAATCAGTTCTGAAAAGACAAAGGAAATATAATTGTCCAACATTTAAAATCGCTGCACCTCTTACGGGCATTCATTTTATCATTGTAGATTTGATGTATTTATTAAAACTATCTTAAGCGGAGCCTTGGTGAGCAAAGGGTCTTAGTAATTCATCTACAGAAATCATAAATAAGCCTATCAATAATGAGGTTGTGATTTCAAACCACGCACGTGGTGGGTGCGTTCGATTCTGATCTTAATAGACTAGGATTGCCAATTTTCCTGCCGAATGTCGATGTTTCTCACAGGGCACTCCGTCTTCCTCCACGAAATAAAATCGTGCCTTTACGATTAACTCAAGAGTGTTGAAAGTTGCGTTTAACACCAACATTGATTGATTGATTGTTGGTGTTTAGTTTAAATATATTCCATTTGTCATTTTTGAACAATTAAATATGTTTAAACTAAACACCAACAATCAATCAATCAATATATTTAAAACTTTCAACTGACCAACGTCACCACAATATTAAATATTCTACTTAACTGATTATATGGATAAATGCAATGACATATGGTAAACAAACGAAAACATACAAACTGACAAATGATAAACTGCGGAGAGCAATGCATAGGATGGATCATAAGAAAATGAACAAACATTTAAAGAAACCAATATTTAATTGACCATGCAGTTTTTATGTATTTACACAAATTTATTTAAAGTGACTAAGACGTTAATTGAAATATGTAAAGTATATTAAGGTGAAAGTAGTTTACCCATTTTCAAATCTTGTAAATGTATTATGATGAGACAAATCAAGGTCACAACAAGAAACAGAGGGAATTGCATTAACTCCAAAAGGAGTAATTCCCGGTGTTTCGACAAGGTAAGCGAGTCCTGCTAAGCATACATCACCCCATGCAAATTCAGACTTATTTGAAATGTCATAATCGGGGAAAAGGACAAAATCAATTGAATTACAGATCAGACTACTATACGGGTATTTAAAGATACAAAAACGCTAAAATATGTCACTAGTGAGTGTAGATACTGGCACATCGTATTGGTAAACCAATTTGTAATCATTTCCGTAACACTTATGTAGTTTCGATTTCAGTCGATCTTCTTAATAGCTGTGCTGGAGTAGTTTTGGTGTAAGGAGCATAGTCATATTAATGATGAAGTCCATATAGTGTGAACATGCACGAGCGTAACATATTAACTGATATATGAAAACGCCTTACGATAGAGCAGACAAAATGTTTAACTAATGCGAAAATGAGAAGTTGACAATGTAAAGTTGAAATAATCACGTTTTCCAAAGATCCTAGTTTTGAATCGTCCATCTGTGTCAATATCGAGAAAAATGGAAATATGATGCAGACCTTCTACTCTCGGTAGTATCCTTAATTTCTAGTTCATTTGGGATATATGTGATGTAAGCACTCATTTAAATGTGAGTTATTGAGTGACAGACCATCATCAATACATCTGTAAGTGAAATTAAAGATGCTTATTCTGCTTGTCTAAAAGAAGGTTCTATATGAAAGTGATGCATTTGAGTACGAAAATAAGTCAGCCGGTAGTGGTGCACAATTATTATCCATTGGAATACCGACTGTCTGCTATAATATTATTCCACCAAACTCAACAAATATGTTGTAGATCAAAATGTGAACCAATTTTGATGATTTAATATTCGGTGTATCTGTTCTGGGAAACAATGTGGTTCTATACAAATTCAGATTTTTTTTACTTGAAACAAGGAATTTGTATCTCCGTTTTCCAATTTTGTAGAAAAAAATCCAGTCAGTAAGATGTTAAATTTATGCTGAAATGGTTCTTTTATGACAAAGTTAGTGAAGTAGTTGTGGAATTTAATAATCAGACTTTTATAGTAACAGGAAATTATAATTTAGTGCAAAATCAAGACCTTAATACTTTTAATTACCGAAATATTATAATGCAAAAGCCAAAGAAAAATGTCTAGGTACAAATAAAAAATTACAACTTAATTTATCCCTTTAGAGAATTATATCAAAAAAGTAAGAGGTATACTTTCAAGAAAACATACTCTATGAAACAAGCCAGACTTGACTTCTTTTGCGTTCCACAGAGCTTTTACCCAAATAAACTTGACACAAAGATACAAAAGAGTTAAAGATTAGATACCTCAACTATTATTTTACAACTAAAACTTTCTACTTTTAGTATTGGGAGGGATGTTTGGAAATTTTACTATTCTCTTTAATATATGATCCAATCTGTGTTCATATTGTTGAAGAGGTTATAAGTAAAACTAAAAAGCAATATGTTTTTATTGAATATAACAGAAGAAACCTAAAACTAATAGATTCTAGTGATATCGAATTCATAGTTAGTTATCAGTTTTTTTCGAAACATTACTGACTGAAATTAGATAACTAAACAATCATATGCTTTATCTAAAAAGATAGACACTAACAAATAAGAACATTTAAAAGTTGAAAGTAACACACATCAGATGAAATTTTCGAACAGATTGAGAAACAAAGGAAACAGATTTTAAAATTCTCAGACAAAATAAATTGAGGGGTTAGTATATAAGGTCAAAGACACAATTGATGGAAGAAGGATCTAAACCATCAAAATAATTGATGAATTTAAACACAAAAAAAGTTGTATAAATAAAACAATTCCTTTATTGGTTGATGAATCAGGAAATATAATTGAAAACCAAAAACAAATTCTGAGACAAAAAAACTTACAACAAAAACTCTATTCCAAAACAGAAACAGTATGTATAATATCACCTTTTTTTGGGGTGGGTTGGGGGGTCGGGGTACTCAATAGTTACATGATGTTTCGTAGCTATCAATTATCTTTGCGTCAGTTAAAAAAAAATCTAAAACTGCACAATTGAAGCTGGGATATTGTGGATGTATGCATTGCAAGACTTTCTAAAATTTGGCCTATACATATTTAGTGTCCCAGTGAAGGCATATAAAAATTACAAAAGTTAAAGATAAGTTTTTAAATTAATTCAGTTAATAAACATAAATCAGTAAATTACCCAATTCAAATTTAATAAAATTAAGGAAACATTTGAATATTATTTGTTGAGTTCAATTTAGCGACAGATTAAGGAAGCGTTGTTTCTAGAAAAAGAAACCACGGTAAATGATAGGCTGACGTCACGACAATTGTTTAAATTCTATTTATTTGAATAATGCTATACCCCATAATGATAAACCAAAAACGTCAGAAAGTATGAGAGAGTGTACAAAAGGGGAAATGACCTTTATAGATGTAATTAAAAGAATGAAAACTGAGAAAAGCCCAGGATATGATGGATACACAAATATTTTGTTTTGTTTTATTATTATAGGTACATTTGTTCATAAATCAATAAAATATGATGATAATAATCAAGGTGTTATATGTATTACACAAAACAAGGTATTATTACCTTCATCCCAAATGTTAACAAACCAAAGCAATACATAATTATTTGGCTTGAATCAGTCTTTTAAACGCTGTTTATAAATATGCATGAAGTTGCATTGCAGAAAGAATCAAATCTGTTTTATCAATTTGAATTTGTGTTCCTGTCACTTAGTGTTACATTTTAGCGATTATTTGTTAACATTGCCATATAAGCGGGAGGTTTGGCTAGCCATAAAACCAGATTAAACCCACCATTTTTTTCTTAAAATGTCCTGTACCAAGTCAGGAATATGGAGGTTGTTATCAAATAACTCGTTTCTATGTTTGTTTTTTGTTGCACTTCAGTGTTTCTGTTGTTCCGTTGTTATCCTCTTATAGTTGATGTGTTTCCCTCGGTTTTGGTTTGTGACCCGGATTTGTTTCAGTTAAATCGGTTTATGACTATTGAACAGCGGTATACTACTGTTGCCTTTATTAAGAAATAATCTTCAATTAAAAAAATTAATATAATCAAAAGTCTTATAATTTCAGAGCTTAATCACTTTATTTTAAAATAATCAAATCCAAACAATGGGTTACTTAGTCCTTTTTTATTTGGGATGGTAAAGCTGAGATATGAATTGGATTGACTTAACATTTTGATCTTTAATCAATGTATAAAAGGATTAAAATAAACTTGGATAAGAAGAATAATAAACAAACTAATAATTATTGTAAGTTATTAACTTCTTCAGAAAAATTTTAATTAAATGAACTGCTTTTTGTAGGTCTAATTAAGCAGACTTCGAAATCCATTTTGGTTAGAAGTTTTTAATGCTTGGACAGAAATCCAAACTAAAGTGACTGTAAGATTTCTCTCAACACAGACTGCATTGAGTTTTTACCATTATTGTTTATTCATAAGTTTGTCAAATGATTAAAGAAACAACTGCATGTATTTGTTTTGACTTTGCCGATGTAACGTTAGACTAATTACCATAATTATAGCATATAATACTAATACATATATTTTGGCCAATAAACACATTTCAAAAACAATTATCAAATATCCTTTCTCGAAATAACTATGAACTGTTCATACCTAATGCTTGTTGTTGTTTTTTTTTAAAATTTATTTTACAATTTATGAGGAATTTTAATCAGCCAATTTTATGTTAAAGGACCTAAATACTTACCGAGCTACTTACAAAAAGAAAGACCAGACAATTACGTCTTATAGTAATAAGTCAATGATAAAAAACAACTTTCTATAAAGCAGTATGGTTTCATGCCAGAATAACAAGGGTTTGGAATTTATTTCCCCTAAAGAGTATACGTAATGTAAAACTAGTCAGTTTTGGCAAATTCCAAATTCCTAAAGCAGTTCTGAATATCCTGACACTTATTATATTTAAGGGTTTTTATCTCTTATGCACCCCTACAGCTAGTAATAATTATAATTGAGTTGACCCAATATGGTATACTCGAAATACCTTAAGTTTTAAGTTTCATTCAATTAGTTGATTACAAATAAAATATATCAAAATACACATGCAAAATTGTTCTGAAAGCTTATCAAGGAAAACAGAGTTATAATATGGTACGGCAGCCGAACGGTTCCTGTAGACCAGACTCATTAGTGGCGCCCAAATCATGACTTTACACAAAATACGA